AGCCCAAGCTCCAACTTCTACACAACCTAAGTCCTCTGATGGCTCAGAAGCGGGCAACACTAAATACTCCACCTCTCCCATATCTTCAGAATCTGGGGAGAGTGCAAAAGATAAGGACAAGAGTGATGACGAGGTCCCGGACAGTGGGCTACCGGGTATTGGTGGTATTGAAATAACGAGAAAACATCAGGTATGGCAAGATAGATTTGTGAGCGAGGTGGCCTACCATAAATTTCGATAGGTGTGACCTAAAAAGAAAGTGATCGCAGACAGAAAATTGGTCACCCGTGATTTGCTACCATTACTTCCCCGTCTCCATGAGCAGTTTTTGACTAGAGTGGGGTGGGACTTCTTCAAAGATGAGGTACACAACAAAAATGAGCATATGGTGAAAGAATTCTACTACAAAGGCCCATACCAAATAAGGGTCAATTGCAACTAAAGTGCGGGACAAGAAGATTGTGTTGTAGGGTGAGGCATTGAATGGGTATTTGGGCTTCAATGATTAGGATGGAACCCAATATAGAGAGAAGCTGGAATTGAAGGAGGAAGTTTGCCCATGGTTGGCGGAGTTCTTAGTATAGCTGGGTACTATTTCGGATTGGATACAAGTGGAGAAGAAGATTCTAAGAAATGACCTCAACTTTGAGGTGAGATGATGGTTGAATTTTGTATGCTACAGGTTGGATCCTACGTCCTATGACCAGACAATTCCAATCGCCCGAGCTATTCTCATTGCATCCATTATGGTAGGTTTCCCGATCAATGTGGGGAACATGATGTACAAGGTTATCACCTCAATTGGCATTGATACGTACCAGAACTACCCTTACCCAAACACCCTCAACATGTACTTTGCGGATGCGAAGGTGAAGAAATACCCATTCGATGTCAAAGTCTAGCCGGTGTCCCTATTCTCATGGTTTAGTATTCAGGGGACGGACAACCCAAAGGGGGACAAGAAGGGAAAAGCATCCACCTCTGCCCCAACTGGCCAGTTTGAGGAGCTAGTTGTTGTAGAGGCTTTGGTTGAGCCACCCATTCCTGATGCCACAATTATTCCTGACATTTCATCCTCCTTTGCGGGTCTCAGTTCTTCAACTGGCCCAGTAGTTAGCCCTAGTCCAACGGCAGGATCCTATACCAGTTTCAGAGCAATAGGCCGGGGACCAGTCTGAAGTCCCTGCCACTACAGGGGATCATGGGACCACTAAAGACCCTATACATGTGGACCAGGCTTAGGGAGCTATCTATATCCTTTATTTGTGGTTTTTATGTTTAGTTTGGTAGTTAATATTGAGGACAATTCCATCTTTTATTTGTGGGTTCGCCCTACTATTTTGATGTTGATACAATTGAATGACTGTACATATTTATTTGATTCATAGTTTATGTTGTTAGTGGATAGTTGGTTTGTATATAACCTTTCATTTTAGATACTTTCGACTTTCTATATATATTCATTACCCCAGTTGTATATTCTACTCCCCGATTGTACATATTCATTCGGCTTTCTATTTTTGTTAAAAAATTTCATTCTTAGCTTTATAGTTAGGCTCGTAGCCTTTTTGTTTTATTTTGGTGTTTGCAATAAGCCATTGGTTTTCTTAATGCCGTGGTTCTTTCCAAGGGTAGAGTGTTGTGCGAACCGGGTGGCTCTTCCCAATGATAGATGGCATGACAACCGTCTTAAGGGTTGAGTCCGTTTTCATTTTTTCTTTTGATTTTCAAGTTTTGTAGTTGAGGGTACCTCAGGCAAAGCTTCACTCGGTCCTAGCACATTTGTCTTTGATCCCATGATCAAAGGCATGATGTTGTCTTTAGGATAGTGAAAGTCATGACCTTGAGACTCTTTTTTTACGAAATAATCATCATGTGGTCATTTTGGGCCATAACACTTAAATCGTAACTAAGGTCGTTATGGGCCCTAGACTCGATGTATTTACCAATCCTTGAGTGCGTATGGTGAGAATTTGAATTACGAGTTCAAGTACCTAGCCGGTGGTTTAGAACTTGCCCTGATTGTCTGTTGAGCCAAAATCATATGTGGAATTTGATTTAAGAAGTGATTATAGGCTCTCCTTGATCCATAATGTTAAGATTGAACAAGTCCATGACCTACCAATAAAATTATCCTTAGTTCACTCTTTTTAGCCTTGAACCATCCTCTTTCAAGAACCAAAGCCACAAGCCTATACCCGTTCTCAATGTTATCCTCTTTTGGCAGCCAAATCTTCCCTTGAGTAGTGGCAAATGCCTATACGTTTTTTTTTGGGGGG